GGCGGAATGTCCTTCACATGACGGCGAATCCTGCTGCTGCTGCTGCTGCTGCGAATGTGCTGCTGCTGCTGCTGCTAGGCTGTTGGGCGGCAAATCCTCCTTCTGCCGGCCAGGAGAACCAACAATGCTCGCTGCTGCTGTTGCTGCAGCTGTGGCGGGTTCTGCTGCTGTTGCTGCTGCCTTCGGCTTGGCTGCGGCACTTTCCGCAGCCGCCACGGTCCCCGCACTTGCCTGCTGCTGCTGCTGCTGCTGCTGCGGCTGCTGCTGCTGCTGCTGCGGGGGAGAAGGAGGCGCTGAAGCATCATCGACCTTCTTGAAGAACGCGAGTAGAGACGGCTGTCGCTGTACGTACACCCCAAAGGCGCAAACCGAACCCTAACGCCGCCGCCGCAGCAGCAGCAGCAACAGTAGCAGCAGCAACAGCAGCACCAACAGCAGCAGCACAAACAGCAGCAGCACCAGCAACGACTAACCTTGTTCGAGAGATCGCTGCCTCCCGAAGATCTCCGAGGCTTCCCCCCCGATGGCCTCTTCTCGATCGCCATGTTGCAGACCCTAAACGCTAAACCCTAAACCCTAAACCCCAGGCCCTAAACCCTAGGGGGCCTGTCCCGTCCCGGTACAACGAAGTAAAGAAGACACACGGGTGGCGCTGCCGGTGCTGCTGCCGGTGCTGCTGCTTCTGGTGCTAATGCTGCCGCTGCTGCTGCTGCTGCTGCTGCAGCAAAAGAGGTGTACGCAAACCCCAGCGAGAGAAGCAACCACCAAGTGCCACCCCCAGTGGCAGGCAGCTCACCAGCCCTGCCGCTACGCCCTAAACCCCAAACCCTAAACCCTAAACCCTAAACCCTCGAAGAAGTCGGGAAGAAAGCAGAAGTGCCTGAGCTGAGGTGTACGCAGACTTCAAAACACCAAAGGCAGCAGCAGCAGCCGCTGCTGCGGAAGGGTTGGGGCTGGTAGTGGGGTGTGTTTGCTGCATGGACCACCTGCTGCTGCTGCTGCTGTTGCTGCTGCTGCTGCTGCAACTTGAGGTGTAGGGGCTGGCGAGCAGCAAATCTCCATTTTCAATTTACTTTCTTTAATGGAAGAAAACAATAAGAGCTGGTGCCGCTAGCAGCAGCAGTAGCAGCCACCCGTGTGGGCGGGCTGGGCTGCAGCAGCAGCACAGCCTACAGCAGCAGCAGCAGCGGCAGCGGCGCTGC